CTTCTGACCTCCAGAACTGTGAACTAATAAACAGGTGTTGTTTAAAGTTGCTGAGTTTGTGGTAATTTATTACGTAGCGATGGAAAACTAATACAGATGGAAAAACACATAACATGCAAACACTAACCAAAAGAAAACTGGGGTGTCTATATTACCAACAGGGACTTCAGAACAAGGAATATTATCAGCGATAAAGATGGACATTGTACAATGATAAAGGGGGCAATTCATCAAGAAGATATAACAATCCTAAGTGTGTCTTCACATAATAACAGAGCTTCAAAATATATAAAGCAAAAACTGAGAGAAATGAAAGGAGTCTTACTGAATCTACATTATAGTTGGGAGATTTCAACACTCTTCTCTTAGTAATTGATAGAAGAAGTGCAGAGTAAATCCGTTGGAATATAGAAGACACGAACAACAGTATCAACCAACTTGACCTAGTTGACATTTACAGAACACTTTACTCACAAGTGCAGAACACACATTATGTTCAAATAAATGCACATGAACATTATCAAGATACCTACATTTCAGACCATAAACAAATTTCAAGAAATGGAAAAGAAGTGAAATTATATAACATGTGTTCTATTGTCACAATGGAATCAATAAAAGAAAAATATCTGGAAAATCCCCAAATATCTGAAAACTAAACACAGGTCTAGAGGCAGCCGCTTCAGTGGCCTGGGTTCAGTGATCAGGCGTGGGACCACACCACCCATCTGTCAGTAGCCATGCTGTGGCAGTGGCTCACATAGAAGATCCAGAAGAACTCACAACTACACACAACTACGTACTGGGCCTTTTGCGGGGGGGAGGAAGAAAAAAGGAGGAAGACTGGCAACAGATGTTAGCTCAGGGTTGAAGCTTCCCCTGCAGAAAAACCAAAAAAATACATACTTCTAAATAACTCATGAGTCAAAGAGGAAGTCACAAGGGAAATCACAAAATATTTTGAATTAAATGAAAATATAACATATCCAAATTTCTAACATGAAGCTAAAGCAGTGCTTAGAGAGGGTAATTTATAGCATTAAATGCTTATAGTGGAAAAGAAGATCTCAAGTCAAGGAGTTCAGCTTCCACCTTAAGAAATTAGGAAAAGAGCAAATTAAGAAGAATGGAAATAATGAAGATAACGGTAGAAATCAATGAAATTGCAAACTTAACCACTCAGTCATGGGGCCGGCAGCTGGAACATTATTTCTGTGATTAGGTTACAAAACACTGTGGCTTCCATCTTGCTGGTAGACTCTAATGTCTCCTTGGCTTGCACACTCTGACGAAGCAAGCTGCCCCATGGCAGAAGCCTTTGCGACAAGGAACTGTAGGAGGCCTGTAGGCAACAGCCAGCAAGAAACTGAGGCCCGCAGGTGAAGAGCCTGTGAGGAACTGAATTCTGCCAAGACCAGAGAGGGCTCGGAAGTAATCTTTCCCTAGCTGAGATCCAAATGAGACTCCAGACCCTGGGCCGACACCTTGATGGGGACCTCGTGACAGACTGAAGCATAGGACCCCGCTGAGCATGCCTGGATTCCAGACCCACAGAAACCATGAAATATAAGTATGGATTGTTTTAAGCCAATAAGTTTTGGGGGTAATTTGTCATGCAGGAATAGGTAATACACTGATTAAAGAAATCAAAGAAGACTTAAATAAAAGGAGACATGGCGTGTTAATAGATCAGATGATTCTAAATTGTTAAAAAGAATCTTCCCAAATCGATCTGTTGCAACACAACCCCAATCAAAATCCAAGCAGGATTTTTTTTTGGAGAAATTGAACAGCTGATCCTAAAACTATAAAATCCCAGGGGGAAAGAGAAAATCTTGGTGACTTTGGATCAGGCAGAGTTCTTAGACACAATACCAAAAGCACAACCCACTAAACAAAACCAGTATACTGTGCTTCACCAAATTTAAAAACTGCTCTTTGAAAGGCAATGTTAAGAAAATGAAAAGAGGGCCAGTCCCAGTGGCCTAGTGGTTAAGTTCAGTGTGCTCCACTTTGGCAGCCCGGGTTCAGTTCCTGGGTGCGGGCCTCCACTGCTCTGTTAGTGGCCATGCTGTGCTGGTGGCCCACATACTAACAAACAGAGGAAGATTGGCACAGATGTTAGCTCAGGGTCAATCTTCCTCATCAAAGAAAAAGAAAGAAATGAAAATGTCTCCAGAGACAGAGAGAAAAAATTTGCAAGACACATCTGATAAAGGCCTTGAATCTGGAATAAATTAAGAACACTCAAAACTCAATAATAAGAAGGGGCTGGCCCCGTGGCCGAGTGGTTGAGTTCGCGTGCTCCGCTGCAGGCAGCCCAGTGTTTCATTGGTTCGAATCCTGGGGGTGGACATGGCACTGCTCATCAAGCCACGCTGAGGCAGCGTCCCACATGCCACAACTAGAAGGACCCACAACAAAGAATATACAACTATGTACCGGGGGGTTTGGGGAGAAAAAGGAAAAAACAAAATCTTTGAAAAAAAAACCAACTCAATAATAAGAAAACAAACAAGCCAATTAAAAAGAAAAGGTGGGGGGGGAGATTTGAAAAGACACACCACCAGAGATGTGTGAATGGCAAATGAGCACTTGAAAAGAAAAGATCCTCAATATTATTAGTCATTACCAATTAAAACTACAGCGATATAGCACTACATACTTCTTAAGAGTAGCTAAAAACAAACACAGCTAATACCAAGTGCTGATACAGATGTGGAGCATCAACCCCGCCCTTCACACCCAGTCCCTGGCGATCACTGGTCTGATTTCTGCCCCTACAGTTTTGCCTTTTCCAGAGTATCATATAATGAAGTCATACAGCATGCAGTCTTTGAGTCTCGCCTTTTACAGGACAGGAGTCTGCAAACTACAGCCTGCTGCCTGTTTTAGTATGGACCATGAGCTAATGATTTTTAAATGGTTGAGGAAAAAAAAATTCGAAAGAATACTGTGTGACACGTGAAAATTGCAAGAAATTCCAATTTTAGTGTCATCGATAAAGTTTTATTGCAACACAGTCACACTCAGTTGTCTTCCTGTTTTCTGTGGCTGCTTGCGTGCTCTGATAGTAGGGTTGAATATTTACAACAGAGAATGTATAACCTACGAAGCCTAAAACATTTACTACCTAGTCCATTACAGAAAAAGTTTGTTATCAAGTTCAACATACACTTATCACGTGACCCAGCAATCCTTCTGCTGGATATTTACCCAAGAAAAACTAAAACTTGTGTTAACAAAAATGTGTATGCCAACGTGTAGATTGACTTTATTCATAATGGGCTAAAACTGGAAAGAACCCTAAGGTCTCTCAATTGGTCAGTGGATAAACAAACTGTGGGACATCACTCGATGGAATTCTACTCAACAACACAAAAAGGGGGGCCGGCCCAGTGGCTCAGTGGTTAAGTTTGTACGTTCTGCTTCGGCGGCCCGGGGTTCATTGGTTCAGATCCCGGGTGCAGACACGGCACAGCTTGGCAAGCCATGCTGTGGTAGGCGTCCCACATATAAAGTAGAGGAAGACGGGCACAGATGTTAGCTCAGGGCCAGTCTTCCTCAGCAAAAAGAGGAGGATTGGTGGCAGATGTTAACTCAGGGCTAATCTTCCTCAAAAAAAAAAAAAAAAACCACAAAAGGAAGAACTACTACTATGAACACCACCAAGGACAGCTGTCAAATGTGTTATTCTAAGTCAGGGCCAAACATTTTCTTTAAAGGGCAGGACAGACATTTTAGACTTCGGGGCTTTCCAATGGTTGTATAAGCTTCTAGATGCTGCATTATCGCATTTTATACTTGGAATCTGTAGAATGGCTTCTATTCTATGATACAAACATTGAGTGGAAACACAAAAACAGGAGACCCAGAGTGTAACACAAATGGATGAGATGTCCCCTGACACCTTTCCCCCATTTTTCCTTGAGAATACAATCTCCAATTTAGCTGGACACGTAGAATATATTATTTCTTCCTTACGGCTAGGTGTAGTCATGTGACTGAACTGTGGCCAGTGAAAAATAAATGGAAGCATGGTGTACAATTTCCTGAGAAGGGTCACAGAGTATGGGGTATGCTCTTCTATACACTTTTTTCCTGGCTGAAATATGGACAAGACAGATAGAGCTTCAGTGGCCATCTTGGATCGTGAGGCAGACGACACACACCAAGGATGAAGGAGCAGCAAATCAAGAGGATTCTGGACCTCATGACTTTTTGAAGCTACTCTGTATGCTCTGAAGTGCCTACTTCTGGACTTCTGTGATGAAAAAGAGAAATACAGTTCTGTCTTGTTTAAGCCATTATTGTTTGGGATTTTTTTTACTCATAGCCAAAGCTAATCCCAACTACAAACAGAATTCATCCCTCACAAAGGCAGTCCCAGAGTGGGACTACTGAGGAACTCTTGCTACGCACTTACAGAGCTGTCTGCTTCCACTCCATTCCCAGAATGGTTTTTCTTCAATCTTCCCCCCCTTTGTTGTTTGGAGGAAGATTAGCCCTGAACTAACATCTGCTGCCAATCCTCCTCTTTTTTTTTTTTTTTTTTTTTTTTGCTGAAGAGGACTGGCCCTGAGCTAACATCTGTGTCCATCTTCTTCCACTTTATACGTGGGACACCTGCCACAGCACGGCTTGCCAAGCGGTGCCATGTCCGCACCCGGGATCTGAACCAGCGAACCCCGGGCCACTGAAGCGGAACGTGTGCCACCGGGATGGCCCCATCAACCTTCCCTTTGATACTGTGAGCTTCCCATACAATTCCACCAAATTCCCTTTTTGCTTAAGTCAGACAGAACATTGCTATTGCTTGCGAACAAAGAACCTTAACTAATAAAACAAATTTTGCACACTCAAGAAAAATTTGAAGAGTGTTCAGGTTGAGTGTCCGTGGCACACGTGAAAGAAGAAAAATTGCTTAGGATACAATTCCAGAGTCAAACCAGCCCAAGTCAGCCCATTGTTCACATTATGTTGCTTATCACGTCCAGTACCTGTAGCCCAGTAGTAAATATCCCAGTCATTGCTGGGCTCATTAATCAGGCGATCATAGAGGTTCAGCTGTTTCTCTGTCATGTGGTGCAGATGCTCTTTAGCAAAGAGGCTAAAAAGAAGGAAAAGAGAGAAAGACACTGAAAAGGCTGTCTCCAGTCAAAGAGAAGTGACCCCAAGACTGCCATCCCCTACCTCAGCAGGATGCAGTTTTCCAACATTCCCCTCTTTCTGCTCTCGTAGAGCAGCCGGGCTCTTTTGGTTTCTATGGATTCATCAGTTCGCTCCTGCCATGGAGGCAAAGGGATTTCAATCAAGTCTTTTTGGGAATCGGTCGGGCTGTCACCTCTGTAGAAGCATCTGAATGGTGTCATGCTGAGCGAAGGTGACACTAGGTGGCGCCTTGACACAGCAAGCATCTGAAACAAATAAACCACAAACATCTTTATAACAACAACAATGCCATCACTGTCATTCACTCAACACTTACTAGCTGTTAAATGCATTCAATCTGGGGCAGGCCTCGGGCCGAGTGGTTAAATTCACATGCTCGGCTTCAGAGGCCTGGGGTTCGCTGGTTTGGATCCTGGGCACAGACCTACACACTGCTCATCAAGCCATGCTGTGAACATAGAAGAACTAAAATGACCTACAACTAAGATATACAACTGTGTACTGGGGCTTTACGGAGAAAAAAAAATGAGGAAGACTGGCAACAGGTGTTAGCTCAGGGCCAATCTTCCTCACCAAAAAGAATACTTTAAAAAAAAATGCATTCAATCTCGTTTAGTCCTAAAAAAGTTAGGCTTATACTGTCCCATTTTACAGCTTAGGAAACTGAGGCTCAAAGAGGTTAAATAGGGGATGGCCCCGTGGCTGAGTGGTTAAGTTCACGCGCTCTGCTGCAGGCGGCCCAGTGTTTCATTGGTTCGAATCCTGGGCGCGGACATGGCACTGCTCATCAAGCCACGCTGAGGCAGCGTCCCACATGCCACAACTAGAAGGACCCACAACAAAGAATATACAACTATGTACCGGGGGGCTTTGGGGAGAAAAAGGAAAAAAACTAAAATCTTTAAAAAAAAAAAAAGAGGTTAAATAATTTACCAAAGGCACCCAAATAGTAACTGCAGTTAAAACTGGAACCTAGCCCTAACCATAAACATGTTCTTAACCAGCGCCTTTCCAAAAATTCTCCCAGCAAAAATATTTTCTCCCTCTTTCACATTCCCTTTCTCCCCTTTTCACATTCCCAACGGTATGGTTGATATTCTAGTCACTTGCCTATGTTAAAATCTGAGCACCCAGTGACAGCATGCTCCCTAATGCCTCACAGGCTCCCTGTCTAGAGAAAGGCAAAAACTATCAAGATGCAATGCGAAGTTTGTGACATCAGCAAGACGGTGGAATGGGAAGCCCCACACTCTCCTCCCATGGAGACCCCCACTCAACAACAGTACCCAGACCAATTCCCTTCATGAGAAATCCAGAAACCAATTAAGAGGCTCCTGAACCCCCGGCGAGCACAAAACCAGCTGGATCAAAGCTGGAAGGAGAATTCGTGGCACTCATTCATCATAGTCCCTCCTCTCAGCTCAGTACAGTACAACTGGAGAAAACTCCCACCTCCTGGCTTCTCCCTGGGGAGGAAAGAGTTGGAATGTTGCATCCAATATTCTGGCTTTTTGTGGGGCTGCCTCAGGGACTGGTTTATGCCTCGCCTTTCTCAGAGCGCCAACAGGACCCAGCACACTCTAGATGCCTAGGGGCCTCTAAGAACAAAGAGAGCTGGGCAGCTTGCTACTGTTCCAGAGGACCCTTGGGTGACCCACGGTACAGCAAGCAGCCAAGAGACCTTGGCAGCTTCTTCTTGGGTGGGGAAGGAAAAGAGTGGAGCATGCATCCAAAGTTCCTGCTTTTCAAAAAGCTGCCCACGGCACTAGTTTCTGTCTTGACCAACCTGCAGCACTGATGGGTCCTGGGATACACAAAAGAGCTGTGAGGCTTGCGGCAGCTCCAGAGAACCTGCACTACCACAGACAGACACCAGAGGGAGCAAAGATCCTGAAAAAAGCAGCAGCAAATGAGAATTTGCACACACAAATCCAGAGAAGGCATATCCACATGAAAGGTTTGAGAGGCCTCCAGATTCTCTAGCAGGGCAGGCTGGTAAAGGTCTTTCCTTGTACAAAGCCAGTCCGAAAAGAGTGGGAGAGGTAGCTGTTTTTTCAAATGTGTGGATCCCAACACAAAGTTGCAAAGGATGAGAAAAAATGGAAGCATGGCCCAATCAACTGAACAAAATAAATTTCCAGAAAGAGACCCTAAAGAAACAGGTATATGAATTTCCAGACAAGGAATTCAAAACAACTGTCATCAAGATATTCAGTGAGCTCAGGAAAACAATGCATGAACAAAATGAGAACGTCAACAAAGGAAAATATTAAAAAGAAGTCGCCAGAAATTTTGGAACTGAAGAATACAACAACTGAATTGAAAAATTCACTACAGGGGTGAAACAGCAGACCTGATCAAGCAGAAGGAAGAATAAGCAAACTTGAAGACAGGTCATTTGAAATTACCTAATCAGAGGGAAAAAAGAAAAAAGAATGAAAAAGACTGAGGTAAGAGACTTACAGGACATTGTCAAGCTGAGCAACATACACATCATGGGAGTCCCAGAAGGAGAAAAGAGAAAGGAGCAGAAAGCTTATTTGAAGAAATAATGACCAAAAACTTCCCAAATCTGGGGAAAGAAATGGACATACAAATTCAGGAAGCCCAAAGGATCCAAAGGAACACTAGAGAGCAAGATGAAAGCATAGGAAAGCATAAAGCTCACTGGTAAAGGTAACAAATACAGAATATATAACAAATACAGAATACTGTAACACTGTAATGGTGATGCACCAATTACTTCTAATTCTGGTATAGAAGTTAAACGACAAAAACATAAAAAATAACTATAAAAACAAGCTAATGGATACACAACATAAAAATATGTAATTGTGGCATCAATAACATAAGATGGGGAGGAATAAGACAGCAGAGTTTTTGTATGAGATTGAAGTTAAATTATCAGCTTAAAATAGATTACTACAACATGTTTTATGTAAGCCCCGTGGCAACCACAAAGAAAATACACAATAGAAAATTAGAAAGGAATCAAAGCGTGTCTCTAAAAAAAAAAATATCAATGAAACAACACATGACAGCAAGAGAGGAAGAGAAGGACACAAAGCTATAGGATGGACAGAAAACACTTAAAATGGGAAGAGTAAGTCCTTCCCTATCAGCCATTATTTTAAATTTAAATGTGTTAAACTCCTCAACTGAAAGACTGGCTGAATAGATTAAAAAAACAAGACCGAACTATATGCTGTTACAAGACACTCATTTTAGATGTAAGCATACACACAGGCTGAAAGTGAAAGGACGAAAAAAAAGATATTCCAGGTAAATTGTAACCAAGAGAGAGCAGAGATGGCTCTACTTACACCAAACAAAACAGAGTAAGTCAAAAACTGTCAGAAGAGATAAAAAAGGGACAGTATATAATGATAAAAGGGTCAATTCACCAGGAAGATATAATTATAAATATATATACAACCAACATCAGAGCACCCAAATATATGAAGAAGGAGCAGACCTGATCAATCAGAAGAATCAAGAAGAACTGAATGGAGAAACAGACAGCAACATAATAACAGTAGGAGATTTCAACACCCCACTTTCAATAACGGATAGAACATCCAAACAGAAGATCAATAAAGAAACAGAGAACTTGAGCACTACAGACCAAATGGACCAAACAGACATACACAGAACATTCCACTTAACAGCAGCAGAATACACATTCTTCTCAAGCACACTGGGAACATTCTCCGGGAGAGATCACATATCAGGTTACAAAGCAAGTCTTAAACATTGAAATCATACAAAGTATATTTTCTGGCCACAATGGAAGGAAATAAGAAATCAACAGCAGAAGGAAAACTGGAAAACTCACAAATCTGTGAAAACTAAACAACACACTCTCACTCTTGAACAAGCAATGGTCCAAATGGGTCAAAGAAGAAATCAAAAGGGAAATTAGAAAATATCTTAAGACAAAACGAAAACACAACATACAAAAAGATCATGAGATGCAGCAAAAAGCAGTACTAAGAGAGAAGTTTACAGTGGTAAACACTTACATCAAAAAAGAAAGATCATATGATATGATGCAAAATCACGACAGGTACCAGAGAAGAGTTAAGAACAGAGAGAAGGGGCGCCCAGAGGCGGTCGGACCAGTTCCACCCGGTCAATAGGTGAAATCTGAATTGGGTCTCGCCGCAAGACCGATGGTTCAACGAGGCTACGAGACAGGCACACAGTGGGCTCAGAAAAGGGTGGCAGCGACCTGAATTTCCTAAGTTGCAGGCTCGACCTCTCCTTGAATCTGTCCTTGCCCTGGGCTGTCAGGATTCCCTCCAGGACTCCACAGGAAGACGAGACTCAGTCCCCACCGCGGCCCACCCAGGACCCGAGAATCGCCACTCTCCTCACCCGCGCCAGAGCTGGCAACACCGCGACCACCGACATTTTTCCCGACCCGCACCGGAAACCAGAGGCCCGACCACTTCCGGGAACTCCCGGACGCCCGCCCCGCGGGCTTCGGCGTTGGGCACCTGAGCCGGAAGATGTGGCCGTGCGTAGGGCGGAAGTGGCTGTGCGTGTGACGCCGGCGGCGGTGGGGGGCGGGACCTGGGGCCGAGAGCGGTTCGCGCGCTTCGGGCCTAGTCCGGACTCGCCGCCGCCGCCGCCATATTCCCGGTAACGGGGGCGCGCGGCCGGGGGCCGGCTGGGCCGGAAGAGGGCTCGGGGCCGGCGCGGAGGCGGGGAGGGGGTCGGTTGAGTTTGGGGCGGCCGGAGTCGGCGGGCGGGGGCAGGCGCGGGCCTTTGAGGGAGGGGGCCGAGGGCGCCGGGCCGGGTCTGTGGGGAGGGAGCGGGGCGGGCCTAGCCGGGGGCGAGGACTGGGCCCGGGTGGGGAGCGGGGGCGGCCGGAGCTCGGGGCCCCGCAGGGACTCTCGCGGGGCCGCCGTGCGGCCTGGGCAGGTGCGGCGGCTGGGGCTGCGGGCTCGGCCGCGGCCGTTCTTCGCAGCGCCGTCCGAGGGCCCCGAGGAGCCGAGGCCTGGACTTTCTCGGCGCGCCGCGGGCAGCTGCGGCGTAACTCGGCTCGGGCCCGAGGGTGATGGGCAGCGAGCCCCGCGAGCCCCGGCGGCCTGGGAGAGCGAGGGGCGGCGCGAGGCCGGGGGCGGGGCGGGGCGGAGCGGGTGGGGCCGAGCTTGGGCTGCCGGGATGCTGCGTCTCTGGAGACGGGAGGCTGGCCGCGATTGCTGTCCTCCCAGCCCGGGACCCTCATGCCTTCTAACGCTCGCCTCTTTCTGGATACCGCAGTGGCATCTTTCTTACTTTGTCCCTTCTCCGGGCTCGCGATCTTCCTTCTGGAGCCATGTCAGAAGGAGTGGACTTGATTGACATATACGCGGACGAGGAGTTCAATCAGGTGAGGGGTCCTCGGGAGCCCTAGGATTTCCCTCCATCCGCCGAGGAATCGCTTCCAGCGGACTTGCAGTGGTTCCCAGCCACGCCAGTCCTTGAGGATCTCCTAGGCGTGAAGGCGCTTCTCTGGGCTCTAACATTTTCCCTCTAGCACAGACTTTCGAGACTTCTCACCGTTCCGCTTTATGTTCATTTAAGCCTCCAGGCTTCATTTGAGAGGCTTCTATTTAAGAGCAAATAAAAATCAGGTTTAATAGAACGGTGAGTCAACCTGTGGAACTTGCTCCCCCAGGAGGCCACAATTCGACGTCAGTCTCCTTAAAGACTGACTCCTCTTAATCACAGTTGTGTTCGGTGTCGTGTTCCTGAGGACAGTGTTGATACCTGTTCCTTTGCTGTGCTCAGACCGCCACTGGAGAAGTGTGGTCCCCTCCTCCAGGAGGCAGCGCAAAGGCACAGTATAAAAGATGCATTAACGTTTAATTTCAGCCCCGTTCAGATTGTTTTACGGCTCACTTCCTCCTGTAAGTTCCTTGAGTCCAGTCTTGGGAAGTCCACAGGCATTTTGGTCTAATAGATTTTATGGATGTTTCTGAGGTGAGGGTAAAGGTGTTGGACAAACCAGATAAAAAGCAGGTGTAGACCCACTCATACACCTAAGTTGGATTCATTGATCTTTTATGTTACAGCAAGGAACATTATACAGTGATTTCCCTTGAAACAGTAATCTCAGGTCCAGTTCAGTTCTGAGCTCTTGAGGTCAAATCTCAAAACTGTTCCAAAGTCACTGTTTAAAACTTACTAATATCCTGCGTGGATTGTTTTCGGCACCATTCTACTTGAGTAAGCTGGTTCTTCTCATTGGTATCTGTCAGGGGGTGCACATGAGGGCCTGGTAAGAGCATAAAAAGACCAGGCTAGAGAAGGAGTGCCCTGGTTGGACCCTGAGTTTGATATGAGGCAACAGAAGAGGTCGATACGTGCCATTTTTTTCACTTGGCATAAGTTTACATAAAAAAAAGTGTTAAAAACTGTATTATACCTTTTTAACGTGGATATTTTAAAACACACACAAAAGTAGAATAGTATAATGACCTTGTATCCGTTACACAGCTTCACCAGTTATACTTTTTGACAGCCATTTTCCTGTATCTTTTCAGGTAAACAGGAGTCATCTACACGTGGGTGTTGATTGATTTAAATACGTGAAAAATTTTGTTTAGTTTCAAAGAAGCCAAATTTATTTATAGATGAAAAAGAAAGCTTTAGTATATTAATTTAGTTACAAACCATTGCTTTCCTGAGTTTTCCATATTATGCTGAATCAGACTTTTACTGCTTTTTACAAGGTAGGGGTTTTGTTTATTTTTTAATGTAAGATAGCAGAAAAAGAAGGCGGCTGCCTAGTTCTCTGTTATTAATGAAAAGCCTTTTTTTACCCCTTAGTTTCCTTTCTGTGGGTTGATAACAGTGCTGATTCACTTTGGGAAATGGGCAGAACAGAGGCCTTGACCACAAGTCTAGCCACATTTGGTCTGAGAAAATGAGATTTCATAATTTCTTAAGCAGTGTAACTTGTAGGTCATAGTTGAGACAGCAGGCCTTGTCCGGTGGTCACTGCTTTGTCAGGGTAGAAGTCATTGACCTCAACAGTTTGTTCTCTGGTCTCTAGTTGAAAAGGACTTTTTAATGGGTCTAAGATAGGTTTAAGATAGTGTGTGGAATCCAGTAGACATTTATACAAACAGACCATACTTAACACTTGGCAAGTTGAAGAAAATGTAGATTTTGAACGTCTTATGGAAGGTTGGAGGGGATGCTTTTTTCCCCACAAATGAGTTGATTTTTGGCCAAGCTGGTTTTAATGTAATTTGGAGGCTGCCGGAGAAATGATAAAAACTGTCTGGTTAGGATTGTTAGAAGCAAGCTTAGACTGAAGGCAACCAGTATAGATTCTGTTTTTTAGAATGTTTTAAGAATGTTATTGATTGACCCCAAGCTGACTCATGCACAAGAACCCCACACATGTACTTTGCTCCGCAGGGAAAACGAACACAGTTCCTAGATGGGACGCTGTGATGCTGACTCCCTGATCGCTTAACACGTGTGCCGCAAAAGCGTCTTTAGCAGAGCTCCCTTCCTGCCATTATAGCGGGACTCGGGCTGGGAGAACTCTGGAAAAGTGACTGAGAGCGGCCGCTCGGCTGAGAGTTTTGTCTCTGTCGCTTGTGGTGAGACAGGTGCTTTGCACAGTATGCCCGGTTCTCTTCCTTACTTCCAACAAGTATTTACTGAGCTACTTCTGTTTGCTAGGCACTGTGTCGAGACTAGTGAGGGGAAAGGAAGGAAAAAATGGATTCCTCTGCTCGAAAGAGGTTCCATTCTCCGTGGTTGAGGACAATGGACAGTGACAGGGAAGGAGGGTGTGTGAGGTGAGAACTGCAGGAATGGAAATTATAAAGCCCAAAACTTCGATCATTGGTTACAATGAAAAGAAACAATGATGTCAAATAGATTGCTTTGAGAAAACTAAATTCTAGGCTTTATTACTTCCCTCAGCTCTCAGGAAAAGGGGGCTGGAGGGTAGGAGCAGTAAGCGTACAGGCAGGGAGGTTCTTATGTAAATTCAGAATCCTGCCAGTACTCTTGTTAACCAAGAAGCTTCGTGAGACAATCACAGTTCTTCCTACGCTGTTAAACACAAAATTCTTCCTGAGATACTCATTCGCTATTAAGTACATACTTCCTTTTGAATCTCTCTGGAATGAAATCGTCAACATCAATGCATGTAAAACGTTAGATTTTTCGCTTAGTTTGTAGAATTAGATTTTGTTTGAACCTAATCAGTCACTACATAAATCACTAGCCCATTTGGTTTTCTGAAAAACCTCAGGCCCTTCTCTGTTTTTCTGTCTTCCAAGCAGGGCTAAAATGGATTGGTGTTGCTAGTAAATTTAAATCCAAACACAACTTGATACATTTGTTTCTTCAATAAAATCCTCAACAGAATCCTCCAGGGGCCTGCCCTGTACTTCAGAACAGTTCCCACCACCTTCTTTGAACTGAGGCTCTGTGTTCCAGAGAGACCATTTGAATCTTGTGACAATTTTGCCTTCATTGAATCTTTTGGAGTTTCTTAGAATTGTAAGATAATCCATGTACCAGGGTCTTCCAGGACTGAGTCTGTCGTGTTCTCTAAGGGACCCTGAAAGAGTAGATTGTTTGCCTGGCCTTACAGTATGGGGGATTTCCTGGTGATACTTTTGATTTCTGAGCTATCCAGATCTGCCTTTTACTTCACTACCCAATTATCAGTGGTAATTTTTGTATTATAACAGTTAGACACATATCTCTGAATCGCAAATACTACATGGAAGGAATCCCGATTTCGTTCCACTGACTATCTAAGATGGTATGTTTCTGTATTCCTTTTAAGTTCTATTTCAAAATCCTTGATGGATTAAAAACACCACCACCACCACCCTGGTGTGAAGTAGTGCTCGCTAAGGATTAGAGCATTGGAGAGGATCAAGTGGGTTCTAAGTCCTTTCTCTGCCTTGAACCACAAGGGCAAATCACCATACCTAGTATGGGCATAAATAAATAAGTGATTTGTCGAGAGTTGGGATTGTTTGAGCCATAAGGGCTGTGAAATATTTTACACACGATATTCGCCATGTTATTATCTCAGCTGTCTTCATCTTACTCAATTTATTGTCCACCCTGTGCTCTCCAGTGTTAGCGTCTCTCCCCATTTTTCACACACTCGCCCTTGTTTATGTGAGAGCCTTGTGTATAGGTTTGACTACCTAGGACAGCCTTGCTGTGCTTATTTGCCTTATTGAATCCTTTTCTTGTTAAGTTGCCTCTAAAAAGTTGCCTCTCTTTGCCATTCTCTTTCTGATACTTTTATAAGGTTTAAATGCCTTTCCTAGGAGATTTCTTAGAGTATTTGTAGTATTGAAGTTATTTACTTGCCTCAGGAAGTAGAATCCTGCCCTCTTCACCATCGGAGCAATCCAGTGGTACTATCTTGGTGTGCACGTGCTTCCACTGTACTTCAGGTCAACTGAGAATCTGAAAGATTGTTTCCAGAAGTTTGTGGCCATATGTAGGCGTAAGCATGAATTGT